CCATTAGGACGACTGAAAAAGGGGCGACTGGAGAAACTCCCTTCCTCCTAACTTATGGTGCAGAAGCTGTTCTTCCAATAGAACACTACGAGCCGACTCTTCGAGTAATGCTATATGACGAAGAGGCAAACTGGGAAGCTATGCGCCTGGCATTAGACTCACTTCCTGAAAAAAGGGGCAATGCTGTTTTGCGCCATGAGATCTATCGCCTAAGAATGACTAGATCATACAACAAGAAAGTACACAGGCGTCCACTCAAAGTAGGGGACTTTGTACTTAGAAAAATGGAAGCAGTTGGTAGGGCCAATGAGTCTGGAAAACTAACTCCCAACTGGGAAGGACCCTACCGAATCTATGCGGAAGTCAGGGACGGTACCTACCGTCTGGAAACACCAGACGGACAACCGTTGCCTCGAACCTGGAACGTAGATAACCTCAAAAAATATTTTTTCTGAATAATGTAAAGTAAAGAGCTACTTAATAAAGTTTGCACTTACTATTCAATATTGTATTACGAGGGGCATGCCGTCTGTACCTTTACAGTCGGCTACTCTCCATTGAGTTTCACTCTTTATCTTTAGAGGGGCATGCCGTCTGTTCCTTTACAGTCGGCTACTCTCCATCGAGTATTTTACTCACAATACTTAGCTAAAAAGATTAGGGCCTGGCCGACCCTGTGCCTAACAGGCGGCTACCCTTCTTTTACTTAGCACCTACGTTCACCAAGAACTTCCAAGGCCACCGGCCGAATGATCAGACCAGGCGCCAAGCCACCTGATCAAAACTACAAAACTAATTCGACCTGTCCCAACATCATAGCAGGCGTCCGACGGCATCCCTCCGGATGAAATTCGTCGCAGAGAGCAGCTCCCTTTTGGGTGGAACATTGTTCTATAAACTAATTACACGGCACCTATACGACTGTCCCCAAGGGAAACCACGTAGCCGTTTTTGAGACAAAGATAACTCTATCACTAACCAAACCAATGGTAGCAGTTGACATCTGAGTCAGATAACCGCCTGTATTACTTGGGATAAATGCAGGGGGTACCTATTGAGTTAATAGCCAACAAACATTGGCGAATCAAGGGGTCTAGCCGGCCTACGCCGCCTGGTACCTCTACTTCTCAAACAAAAGTGATGGCGACTGAGTAACTCCAAATTTAACTCATAGTCACTCCTTCAAATTTGGTATGGAATCTAAAAAGTTTGAGTCGTCCGCTTGTTTTAAACAAACAAGGGCACTCGAACCCCTATTCCTACTGGATAACCTATTGAGTTAATAGCCAACAAACATTGGTGAATCAAGGGGTCTAGCCGGCCTACGCCGCCTGATACCTCTACTACTCAATCAAGATTGTGACAAAGACTAAGTAACTCCTATGTTAACTTAATAGTCACTCAAACTTAGTATGGAGCCCAAAAGGTATGAGTCGTCCACTTGTTTTTAATAAACAAAGGCTCTCAACCAATACTCTTGCTAGGTTAACAAATAACGAGTTAAAAGCCAACATTGGCAATAAAGGGAAACAACCGGTACCCGCCGCTTGTTTTCCTACTTAAATTCCTTGGCTACTAGGTAATTCTATTTACTTGGTCAAATTGAATAAAGCGTTCGAATACCGATTGATTAAATGGCCGACTGATCATCTATCCTGGAAACAGACAACCAGTCGTCCAGGGGCATAGGCGGCATACTTACTATTTGTACCTGTCTTAACGTTCGGCCATACACAACAGTCGGTCAAGTGAGCAAATTTCAGATACTTAGACAAATTTGAACAAAAACAAAAAATTTGATTAAAATGAGCCGGCCATAAAAGACCAGCAGAATATTCAAAACCCCGGCCCCCTGGCCGGGTAATTACAAAGCAAACGGCACGCAGGCCGTGAAAAGAAAAAAATATACTTAAAGCTTATGAAGGGGGCAGTTCAGTATCAGCAGCAGCCGCCTGGTCAGCATTCTTCTTGCTGGACTCGGCCTTAGCTGCATCATCTTTTGATGCCTTACCCCCAAGTGGCACAAGCGCCACAACCGGCTCTTCCTCCTCCAACGCAACGTCCAACGCCTCTTCTTCAGCAGCCGCCAGGATCTGTTGATTATATATTTCCGAACACTGGCGGTACGTTCTTTCCCATGAGGCAAAGTCGGCACTGGGGAACAGTCGTTCCCAGGTCATGCGTTGGATTTGGGCGGAGTCTTCCACCATCTCCCGGACGAGCTCTTGTTTCTCTTGCTCGGCCTTGTCCGAGAGCTCTTGTGTAAGACTCTTCTCCTGGTTCACCAGGCGTTCTTTTACGTTAGCCAAAGATTTCTCCATGGCTTCGTAAGAGTGCATTTTCTGGCGAAGGGGTTTCAGCTCGGCTTTAAGTTTGGTGACGGTCCCCTCCAGCTCGTCAACCTTCTTTTGGGCCACCTCTAGCTGAGCCCGAACAGCGGCGGTCGCCTGCGCCTGATAATAAAGAAGATCAATGGTCAGTACTTCATTTTGGGCAATTTGAAACATTGCTTTATCACAGCTGGAGGCGGCCATAGCCTTTGCGGCCTTTACCTCTTTGTTTTTCCGATCAATCGGCTTGCGAAGGCTGTTGACTCGGAGCAGGGCCTAAGTACAAAGAAAAACAGGCGTCAGTTTCCAATCAAAAGAGTTAACAGGCGTCCTGGAACTCAAAAGCTCAAAAAGGTGCTAAGTATACCTCAGCTAGGATCCCTGAAATTCCATCGAGGTCAAGGGTGCCGGCACCCTTGACCGCCTCCCTGTCAGATGGAGGAACTACTTTAACCATTGACTTGGCTACCTCAACCAAGTCAAGTCCCTGGGGGCCGGCTGCATTAAGTAAAAGGATAAAACAAGTTAGACTTAATCAAGAAGGAAGCAAGGGTGAGTTTTTTACAAGTGAGGGTCCATACATCTAGGCGGCCCCGCCTGGGTTTTTGAAGAAGTGGCCGGCTGCTTCTCAGCCGCCACTGTTTTCCTGGAAGACCCAGGAGAGCTTGCAACAGTCGTCCTCCGGGCCTTGGGGTCCGGCTGTTGCGAGGAAGAAGCCCTTGGAGTGCCAGACTGAAAACAAAAAGAGTTAGTATATGCATAATACAACTAAAAGGAGAAGGCGAAGGGTCGCTTCCAAATTCAAATTTGGGCGGGAAAATCTCTCGGCCGTCTGCAAGGTGACACCTGTAACGGGCCGTCGCCTGTCACCGTGCGACACCTGTCACAGGCGACACGTGACCAGTCGCGTGCCACCTGTGAGGGGCAAATGATTAGGGGATTTTTATCCACCAATCACCATCTGACAAGTGGACCAACCAGGTTCCGCCACGTGTCCTTCACAAAGGCCAACAGGAGCTTGCCACGTGTCAATCACAGATACGTCCTCCATGGACCACTTAAGACACGCCACGTGTCCGCCCATGCCAAATGGGAAAACCGACCATCAAGGCCCAATTCAGTCTAGAGGCCCGATCAGCCCTAGGTTTACCTTAAACCTAGAGAGTTGCACGCTTCCCAAGGCTATAAATACTCGATTAATCCTCGTTAATCAGGAACCGAATAATTAAGAGATCAAGCAGAGAAGAACAGACTTATTAACAACCGGCTAATCTCGCTAACAACGCAGATTACCAACACTAAGCACTCTCACCTAGAGAGATCTGATTACTTTAATTTCTGTATTGATTACTCCTTAATCAGGTACTAACTTGACCGTTGGAGGCGGAGCTCTCAGGAGTCTCCGTTATTTTGCAGGTACAGGCGTCCGGTTCCAGTCTCGGAATTGTAACTCTCCCGCAGGACATCAGAAAACCCCGAAACAAGTGTGGACGATCACTTTTGAACAATGAGGTAAGTTCGAAACTTGTCAAGAGCATACACAATAGCTAGGAGCTCTTTCTCTATGGTGGCATAATTCATCTGAGCCTCATCCAAGGTTTTACTAGCATAGTAAATGGCATGCAAAACCTTTTTCTTTCGTTGTCCAATCATGGCTCCCACAGCATAGTCACTCGCATCACACATGATCTCGAATGGAAAATCCCAATCCGAAGGTTGTATGTTTGGAGCAGTTATCAATGCCTCCTTAATCCTGTTAAAAGACTCCATACAAGCATCAGTAAACTCTAATGTGGCATCCTTAAGCAATAATTGAGTGAGAGGTTTCGATATTTTTAAAAAATCTTTTATAAATCGGCGATAAAACCCTTCATGACCAAGAAAACTTCTCACTCCCTTGACATTCACGGGAGGGGGAAGTTTCTCAATCACCTCAATTTTTGCTTTGTCAACTTGGACGCCACGATCAGAAATAAGATGACCAAGTACCACTCCTTCATTGACCATGAAGTGGCACTTTTCACATTTCAAGACCAAATTGACGTCAGTACAACGTTTAAGCACCTTAAAAAGATTATGCAAGCACATATCAAAGTCAGAACCATAAACACTGAAATCATCCATAAATACCTCCATGATCTTCTCAATGAAATCAGAGAAAATAGCCATCATACACCTGTGAAATGTCACAGGGGCGTTACACAACCCAAATGGCATTTTGCGATAAGAAAATGTACCATAGAGGCATGTGAACGTTGTCTTCTCTTGATCTTCCGGATGAATGGGAATCTGAAAAAAAAAAACCTGAATATCCATCCAAATAACAAAAAAAAAACTATGTTTTGCTAATCTTTCAAGCATTTGATCTATAAAAGGTAAGGGGAAGTGATCTTTCAAGGTATCAGTATTCAACCTGCTATAATCGATACACATACGCCAACCTGTGAAAAACGAGTAGGAATCAGTCCATTCTTATCATTTTTAACAACAGTTGTCCCCCCTTTCTTAGGAACGACTTGTACCGAGTTCACCCATTTAGAATCTGAGATGGGGTAGAAGATGCTCGCGTCAAGAAGTTTCATTACCTCTTTCCTCACCACCTCTTGCATATTAGGATTCAATCGATGTTACGGTTGGATGCAAGGGCGATGATTCTCTTCCAAATTGATTCTATGCATAAAAAAAATTAGGACTTATCCTTGTAAGATCATCAATGTTATACCCGATTGCCTTTTTATGCATGCGAAGCACAATTAAAATCTTAGAAAGTTGGCTATCATCGAGTTTGGCACTAATAATTATAGGGCATTCCTCGTTATCATCCAAATATGCATATTTAAGATGGGAAGGCAAAGGTTTTAACTCTACCTTTTTTACCTGTGACTCGGAAGTAGAATAAACAGTTTCCATTACCTCAGACCCCTCAGTGTTAGGGGCATCCAAGTCAGAAATCAAGGAGTCAATCTCTGTATCTCCTTCTCCTTCAGAAATCTCCAAGGTGAGAACAACTTCTAATGGATCATTAGCTAACTCACGCGGCGTATCATCTCTCACAATCTCATCAAGCACATCAATCCTGCAACAAGTATTCTCAAGCATAGGCGACTTCATCGCATTGGTTAGATTAAAAGTCATTGTATCATCACTAACAGACAAAGTAAGAGACCTAGACTTGACATCAATAACATCACCTACAGTACACAAGAAAGGTCTACCTAAAATGATTGGGATATTACTAGCCTCCTCCATATCTATAACTACAAAGTCAACAGGAATGAAAAATTTCCCAACCCGAACGGGGAAGTCCTTTAGAATACCTAAAGGGTATTTTATAGAATGATCTGCCATTTGCAAGGTGATTTGTGTGCATTTTAAATTTCCCATATTCAACCTGTTACAAACTGAAAGAGGCATAACAGACACACTAGCACCTAAGTCACATAAAGCTTTATCAATGAATAATGCACCTACATGACATGGGATGGAAAAACGACCAGGGTCCTTAAGCTTAGGTGGGGATTTATTTTGCAATATAGCACTACACTCTACACTTAGAGCAACTGTTTCTACACCACTAAATTCTTTCTTCTTAGTAATCATTTCCTTTAAAACCTTTGCATACATCGGAACTTGAGATACTAAATTAGTAAAAGGAACAGTTACCTCAAGGTTCTTGACCAAATTCAAGAACTTACCAAATTATTGATCTATCTTGGTCTTTTGCATTCGATGTGGGAATGGCAGCTTTGGCTCGATGGATGGAGGCTCGGAACCTTTCTTTTTCTCTTTCTCGACATCACATGTTTTAGCTTTCCCATCCTTCAAGGTGGAAACATCATCCAAGGCCTTCTCTACAACCTCATTATTCCCCTTCTCAAGATTTGCATCATCAATAGTTATTTGGGGCCCTTCATAGCTAACACCACTACGAGTACTGATAGCATTGGCGGTCTCCTTAAGGACAGGTTGTCCCGGTAAGTGGCTAGGTTGCCTTTTGATATTGGTACCTGCGACTTGTGCGAGTTGGTTCTCCAAATTCTTTGTCGTATTTTTTAACTCCTTGATGCTATCTTCAGTGTTTTGCTTCATGGATGTCATCATTCTCATAAGGTCAGACATAGTCGGCTCTTGAGTGCTGGAATTTCCATGAGTAGGTTGTTGAGGTTGCCTATTGAAAAACGGAGGAGCATGATGAGAGGCCCCTTGTTGATTGAGTGGAGGTCTTGCAACATATTGTGGAGGCTGAGGGTTCTGAGGTTGTGACCATTGTTGCTAAGGTTAAGGATTTAGAAAATTGTTGCTTTTATATGAGAAGTAGGGATGATTCCTCCAACCTGGATTAAATGTGTTAGAATATGGGTTATTTGGTTGCCTTTGTTGAAAGGCATTCACTTGCTCCATCTGATTGGTATCTTGAGAGTTTGAAGCACATAGATATCCAAAGTGACCATGTATACCACACAATTCACAAAAAAAAAAAAAAAAAAAATTAGTTTGTAGAGGTTGAGAAGACATAGCGTTAACAAATACAAGAGAGAAGTCATGAGTGGCTTGTAATGCATCAATCTTTGCAGTTATTGAGCCATTTGAGAATTCAAGATTGAATAGGCTTCAACTTCCATCTTCCCTTTCTTTGCTCGCGTTTTTAGAGAAGAGAAATGATTGGCTGCAAGATTTTGCAAGAAAATCATACCCTTCCTCGATTGTCTCGTCAAAGAAAACACCACCTGCGGCAGAATCAACAATACATTTAGTCTCAGGTTCTAGTCCGTTATAGAAAATACGAACAAGATTCTACCTTTCAATTGTGATGCGGGCATGATCGTTGAAGATCTAAGAATATATCCCATGATTCCCTAAGATATTCCCCCGACTCTTGAGAAAACGTTCATATTTGATGTCAAATCTTTTCAGTTTTTTCAGGAGGGAAATACTCTTTGAGGAATGCTTGAGAAATTTTGCTCCACTCCGTCTCCTTGACGGTATTCAACCATTTTTTAGCTCTATCACAAAGGGAAAATCCGAACAACATCACTCTTAATTGATCTTGAGTGACTCCTTTGTGATGAACAGTGGAGCATAATTGTTGAAATCGCTGCAAGTGATTAATTGGCTCATCAATAAATGGCCGCTAATCTGATTTTGTTGAACCATACTGAGCAATGCGGGTTTAATTTCAAAGTTCTCTGCAGTGATTGCTGGCATTTTAAGACCCATTGGAATGCCATCTTGGGATGGTACCCCCGTAAGAATTATCAGTCATCTCCTTGCGTGTGTCAGACTATGTTGTAGAGCTCTTCTGTGAGTGGGTCTTTTTCTTCTTCCCTTTCCCTTTTTTTTAGTGGCGTAAGGGTCTTGTCCAAGTCCGACTCCGTACGGATCAAATCACCTATTCGTTTTGACCTGGGCATAAACAAAAAGAAAAGAAAGCAATGAAAATGTCCCAATTGAAACTAGAAGTTCTAATGGTACAATGGAAACAGTTCAAACAATCAAACTAAAACTAATAGAATCCAGCCGTCTCCCCTGCAACGACGCCAAAAACATGATAAATAAAAAGTTATACCGCAAGTGCACGGTGTCTGTTGTTAGCAGAGACTTAGCAAATACGGGTCGAATCCCACATGGAGACAGATTCTATTAGTTTTTCCCAATGATTATAAACTATTTCAATAAACAAAGAGTAGTTTGATGATTAATTAACTAATGTATGACAATAATAAAAATAAGGTTGCTCTCAGATAAATTAAACTCTAGGGCATACGTTCGGTCCACCATGCTTATACCAATCCAAGAAATGAAAACAATCCATTAAAAAACAAACTAGATCAAATAATTAAAGAACTTGTTAATCCTACGGTCAAGAATTAACACTTACGAATTAACATATGTAGTATGGTCACTAACATAATCAACTTCGCCAATTGTACTTAAGCCTCTAAAAATATGATCTTTCAATTCTAATTTTTATTAGCTATATAATCAACTCATGATATTGTCCAATTACATGAATCAAACAAAAAAGCACAAATCAATTGGAATTATTCAAACCCTAATTCATAAATTTATAAATAATTAAGCACAAATAATCATGGTATAAACATGGCTTCCCTCACTTAACCTTAGAAAATGACTACTCACTCATAATTGAAATAAATAAAACAAAAGAGATAAATAAACTTGAATTCATAATTAATAAAATAAATAAAGAATGAAAGATTGAATGAAAATACCTCAATGATTGAATTAATGGAGAATGAAAAGCTAGGGTTCAACAATGGAGAGAAAAAAAAAAACTAAGAAGCATTTAATCTAGAAAAAAAAAAGCATAAAAGTGGAAAATAAAATCCTCTCAATTATTTATATTAAATCCTAATCCTAAGTAAAATAAAATAGATAACATAAAATAAGGAAATAAAAATAACAAAGGCCGTCTTTTAATTGGTCGCGAGAATTACAATCGTTGGAAAGCAAAATTCCCGCACGCCAGACCCATCGCCCGATGGATGGCCGATGGTCGAGTGATCAAGGGCTACAACGATGACCATCGGCCGATGGATTTCCATCGGGCTAGGCAGATTCGAAGAGTCGTGTGTGCGTCTAAACCATCGCCCGATGGCTGGGCGCTTGCTGGCAGATTTGCAAGACCAATTTTGGAAGGTTGTAACTCACAATCTAGGAATTGTACGAAGGCGTGCAAACTATCATTGGAAATCTCTTCAAGTCTAGTTTCCAACTTAACTTGAATCATCTAAATCCGATCTGTAGAAATCAAGACATGGCTAAAACAATGCACAAAGGTGCTTTTTGATACTTTGCAAGCCTTCGTTTTCCTTTGTTTCTAACTCAAATTCAATTCCGAAAAGTGCATATCAATCCTTGTGGATGCTATTTTCAATTTCCATGCATATAATCCTTAGAGACAAAATACGCGACCATAAATCCCTCAATCAATGAACTCGATCCATCTATTTCCATTCAAATATCATTCGAATCATCTCCAAATACTTTAAAAGCGTCCAAATGACTACGAAATCACCCGAAACATTAAGAAATACACAAAAAAGAGTAATTGAGAGACATATGATGCCTTGTGCAAATATGACCCTAAAATTGACTAAAAAGATTAAGAAAAAGGTATTAAAACTAACATAAACGTGCCTAAGAACCCTATATAAATATGATTAATCACCTACTTTTTGTTAATGATGAGTAGATAGTTGATGACGACCATACGACGTGAATTATATGCGGCATTGGGAATGATGGGCGGTGATCACCTAGTTTAATTTAGTCAACATAGTATCAGTGTTTTAGTTGCTCCATAAGTGTTTCAAAACTATTACTATTATTATTCATAAAATATTATTACTATTTTCCACTGTAAAACTCTGTTAAACCTTACGTGATCACGTGGCGATAATACTCCCAAGTTACTCCCTAAAGTTGGATTATTATTGTTAATATTATAGAGTAATTTGGGGGTGTTATAGTAGCTACCTGCCATCTGGTGTATCCAAATGGTAGGTTTCGCCTCTTACTTCTTCATAGATTTTGTAGGAGCCTTCCCAATTAGGGGTTAGCTTTCCTTGCGCATTGTCCCTACGGACTGCCTCCATTTCCCATAACACAAAGTCCCCAACCTGTAGGGGCCGCTTGTGTACTTTTCTTTTGTACGCTCTAGTCATTCTCAGACGGTAGATCTCATGATGCAAGGTGGCATTGCCCCTGCGCTTAAGAAGTGAGTCCAATGCAAGCTGCATGGCCTCCCAATTTGTTTATTCATCATATAGCATGATTCGAAAAGTCGGCTCATAATGTTCAATGGGAAAGACGGCCTTTACACCGTACACCATGAGAAATGGGATCTCTCCAGCTGCCCCTTTTTCTGTTGTTCAGATGGCCCATTGGACGTGTGGTAGCTCATCTGCCCATATGCCGCTAGCTCTTTTAATCTTCTTTTTTATGTCGTCTGAAATTAACTTGTTAAAGGCTTTAACCTTATCGTTTGCTTGTGTTCAGTCGTTTGATGCAAAACATTATGAGATCCCTTGATCTCCCAACCAAGTCTTGAGATGAGGCGTCTCAAACTGAGGACCATTGTCAAAAACCAGAGACATAGGCACCCTAAAATGGGTGATAATGTTTTTCCAAATGAAAGAGATGACGTCCTATGTCTTGATGTTTTTTACTGCCTCTACCTCCACCCATTTAGTGAAGTAATCCATGGTAACAAGATATACTGTCGTCCGCCTGATGAAGGAGTATACGAGCCTAGGATGTCCATGCCCCATTTGGAGAATGGTACTAGGCTATATATGGCCGTCAGATTCATGGTCGAACGGTGTATAAGTATGCCAAATTTTTTGCAATTATCACATCTTTTTACCAATTTCATGGCGTCCTTCTCAAGGGTGGGCCAGAAGTAGGATTGCCTTCTAGCCCTTTCTGCTAGAGACCTGCCGCCTATATGTTAGGCATAAAAGCCCGCATGGAAATCTTCCAGAATCTCCTGCCCCTTTTCGGCGGTGATGAATCTCAAGAGGGGTTATAGGAACCCTTTCTTAAAAAGCTCTCCTTTGCGAATTTCAAAGTTGGTCGCACGGTTTTTAAGAGCGGCAGTT